AGAGCCTGGCCGAGGCGGCAGAGGTGCTCGGCGCGGGCGCGTTGCGCCAAGCCGTTTCCCTCGCGGCGGAGGTCGAGGCGCGCGCGCAGCACCTCGCCGCATCGCCGCCCTCGGCCGCCGCGGCCAGCGCCGCAGCAAGCTCCTCGCACAAGGAGGCTGGTGGGCTGGCGGCGGTGCGCGAGGCGCTCGAGGCTGCGACGCAAAAGGCGCTGTACGCCGCGGCACTGCAGTCCAACCTCGAGGCGCGTGCGGCGCTGCTGCGCAACCTGCTACGCTCGCCGGGCCTGTGGCCGCAGGTGCCTCTCGCGCCATATCTCCCCATATCTCCTATATCTCCCTATATCTCCCATATGGCCTGTGGCCGCAGGTGCCTCTCGCGCCATATCTCCCCATATCTCCTATATCTCCCTATATCTCCCTATATCTCCCATATGGCCTGTGGCCGCAGGTACCTCTCGCGCCATATCTCCCCATATCTCCCCATATCTCCTATATCTCCCTATATCTCCCATATGGCCTGTGGCCGCAGGTGCCTCTCGCGCCAGCCGAGCGAGCGCAGCACGCCGCGCTCGGCAGGTTGCAGCAGCGCGTCGCCGCCCTCCGCCCGCAGCTGCGGGCGGTGGCCGCCGCCGGCAAAGCCGCGCCGCCCCTCGCCGCCCCCGCGCCTGGCGGCGCGAGCCTCGCCGGCGCGTCGGGCGAGCTCGGCCGGCAGGCGCGCACGCGGCGATCCGTCTCTCCCCCCCCTCGCCCCCACACGAGTCATTGCCTTGTACGGAGGGCAAAGCCACCGGAGGAGAGCGGGCGCGTTCCCGACCCTGTCCCTCCGCCACCGCCGCAGGCGCAAGCGATCAGCAAGCTCGTCTCGGAGGTCAAGGCGTCGCGGTCGCTGCTCGCCGAGGCTCTGGCGCAGGCGTAGAGCGGAGGTGCCCCGAGGGGGGGGTTAGTGCAGGGAGGGGCGCCCGGCCAGGCTGGGTGCGCGGCGAGTTATCGGCCTGCTACGCTCTTGAGAGCCCCCCCTTCTACAACTTTTCATGCTGTCCACGGGTCACCTTTCACACGTGCAGCGAGGTGAGAGGATGCAGATTGGGTGTGTGTGCCCCGGTGCGCGCCCCCCCTCTGGGCAAATGCATGTGTGCATGTGCATGTGCATGCACATGCAATCGTGATCAGTCCCGCTATGGATATGCCCAACCCACAAAATGAATACGCATCGCCTTATGCTCTGGTTTCGGGTGCGTAACCTGGTGCGTAGACAGGCGCAGTTATCAAAATACAGCAGATATGAAGGCCGGCCCTCACCCCGGACCTGCTCACAGCGCATATTTTCCTTCGAAAACAGCACAGAATACTTCAATGTTGGCACTGCCCCGCACTTACGCAGCATAATTTTACCAATTCAGGCCCATCGACGACCGCGTTACGCATGACGTATCATGTATCCGCATACGTACCCCCTCCTGGCGCCACAGCCTGGAGGCGCTGACGTACTACGTATACGCATTATGTTTCTGCACTCGCCAAAACGCCCGCGAGACGATTGCCTGGCCAATGATTTCAGGCTCCCGCGCTGCCTTGCTCAATCCAAATCGAATCCCAATTGTCAAACTCGCGAAATTCTACGTGCGTCCGCTGCATCATGGCCCCGCCTCGGACCGCGTCGTCAGAGGGCGTTATGCTGATCCCAGCCGTCGCCAAGAACAGCACGACTGGCTACAAGAACGTGTCCTACATCCGCGGCAATAAGAAGTTCCAGGCGAAGGTGAAGGCTGGCGGCCAGCATGTCTTCCTCGGCTACAGCCGCAGCACCAGCAGAAAGAAGTTCCAGGTGCAGGTGCGGGATGGCGACAAGCATGTCCGCCTCGGCTACTTCGACACCGCCGAAGAGGCGGCCACCGCCTACGCTCAGTCAGAGTACGGCCGCGCCGACGCCGCCAAGCTGCTGCAGCCCCGCCCCGCTCCCATTCCCGCTGGCGCCGAGGCGATACGGCAGGCGGAGAGGGAGGGCCTCACCCTCACCGCCAGTAGCAGCAGCAACACCGGCTACAAAGGCGTCTGCTACCGGCCCTACCGCCCGAAGCAGCAAGGCAGCCAGAAGTACGAGCTGAAGGTGAGGGACGGCGGCAAGCAAGTCCGCCTCGGCCTCTTCGCCACCGCCGAGGAGGCGGCGCTCTTCTACGCCCGCAGGGAGGCGGGCAGGGACACCAGCGATCTCACCGCGCCGCCACCGCCGCCGCCGCCGTCCTCAACCTCTGCGGAGCTGCCAGTGTACGAGCTCAGCATTCTGACGCCTGAGCAAATGGCCGCCGTCCCGACATATAGTCCATCGTCCAATTTGGACTATAGTCGAGCGCGTCGGAGAGGTGTTTGGAGACAGGCTCATGATTGTGCAGCAGCCCTAGCGGCAGCGCCAACTTATGGCAGCCCGAGCGGCAGCGCCAGTGCGCGCACATAAAGGGGGGGGGTGGGGGGGTTAGGGGGTGGCTGTCGAGGGCTATGCCCGAGTCTGTTGTTACCAGCGCACATACAACCCTAGCCAGCTTATGGCAGCCCTAGCGGCAGCGCGAAGTTAGGGTTAGGGGTTAGGGGTTAGGGGTTAGGGGTTAGGGGTTAGGGGTTAGGGGTTAGGGGTTAGGTGGGGCGGATGCGTCAGACGTATGCATAATACGTGAGGCGTAACCCTTGCTGGCCGCCACTTCTCAGTCAAATCCGTCGTGCGTGTGCGTAATACATGGGACGTAAGCTCCCCCCGACACCCATGGCGACCGATGCGTCAGACGTGTGCGTAATACGTGAGGCGTAACCCTTGCTGGCCGCCACTTCTCAGTCAAATCCGTCGTGCGTGTGCGTAATACGTGGGACGTAAGCTCCAAACGACACCCATGGCGACCGATGCGTCAGACGTGTGCGTAATACATGAGGCGTAACCCCCTCTCCGCCGCCGTTCACGGTCGAGAGCGTAGAGCATGTGCGTAATGCGTCGGTCATAGGCTCACCCAGCCCCGATTTACGATCCCACTGCATAAGACCTGTGCGTAATACACCGTGCGTAGCGGCCCGAGAGCGAGCCTCTCTGGCAAAGCTTACATAAAACAGATGCGTGGTGTGTGGTGCGTAGCGGCCAGAAGGTCGGTGGTAACGATCGGGACAGAAGACGTGCGCATAATACGCAGCACATTTGAAATCACCGATCGTGCTTTCTGTCCGCACGCGTAAAGCGAGGCGTATGCGTGACGCATCACTGAGCCTCCACTCGGCTTGACACGGCACCAAAATACACGACGTCTCAGCGACGTCCTACGAACCGTGGGCATGGATGTGCATAAGGTGGCCGACAATTGCATTAGTGGCTCTTACATATCCATAGCGGGACTAATAACCTCCCTGCACATGTCCACTCACCCACGTTATTCCGCGTGAATGAAATCGCGCTCCCACGCGGACCAGGACGCAGGAGACGACCCCGGAGCTGCTCGAAAGCCGTAGTCCTCGGTCCACCCTCTTCCCCGCTTCCAAAGAAAGAAAGAAAGAAAACGGTCAACCCAAGCCCCGCGTGGCTGTATTTCTTTTTCTCGCGATGTCTGCCCCGCAGCGCCGCTCGCGCTGCCTCGCCCCCGCCGCTACCGCCGTTCCCTCGCCAAGCACGCCGCCGCCCGCCCGCCTCCTCGACCTCCCCACGGACCTCCTCGTGCGCGCCCTCTCTCGCTGCGACCCCGCCGGCATCGCTCGCGTCGCGGCCGTCTCGCTGCTCTTCCACGCCTCGCTTGCGCTGGACGCCATCCGCTTGTGGGCGCAAGAGCGCGGCTTCGAGCTGCCGGCGCAGCCAGAGGGCGAGGGCTGCGCCGTGCGGTGGCTGTGTTTCGCTGCGCTGCTGCGCGAGGCCAACCCGCCGGCGAGGGCGGCCGCAGGCTGGCAGCACAGCGTCTTCATCGACGGCGAGGGGCGGCTCTCGTCGTGCGGCTCAGCGCCGTCCTACAGTCCATCGCTCCTCGGTCACGGCGAGGGCGTGACGCGGCTCAACACGCCAACCCGCCTCCCTTCTTCTACGCTGGGCGGCGAGCACGCCGTGAGCGTGTCGGTTGGAGAGTGCCACAGCCTCGCCCTCACCGCCGACAGCGCGGTCTGGAGCTGGGGCGATGAAGCCTTTGGCTGCTTGGGCCACGGCGACCAGCAGAATCAGCTGCAGCCAAAGAAGGTCGAGGCCTTTGTCGGCCAGCCCGTTGTCGCTTTGTCGGCTGGAGCAGCCCACAGCCTCGCCATCACCGCCGACGGCAGCGTCTGGAGCTGGGGCTTTGGAGCCTCAGGCCAGCTGGGCCACGGCGACGAGCAGAACCGGCTGCTGCCGAAGAAAGTCGAGGCCTTTGTTGGGCCGCGCGTCGTCGCTGTGTCGGCTGGAGGCTTCCACAGCCTCGCCCTCACCGCCGACGGCGCCGTCTGGAGCTGGGGCCGTGGAGACTGGGGCGAGCTTGGCCACGGCGACCAGCAGCTGCAGCTGCTGCCCAAGAAGGTCGAGGCCTTTGCTGGCCAGCGCGTCGTCGCTGTGTCCGCTGGAGATGCTCACAGCCTTGCCATCACCGTGGACGGCGCCGTCTGGAGCTGGGGCAATGGAGCCTGGGGCCGGCTGGGCCACGGCGATCCGCAGAACCAGCGGCTGCCGAAGAAAGTCGAGGCCTTTGTTGGGCCGCGCGTCGTCGCTGTGTCTGCTGGACATGCGCACAACCTCGCCCTCACCGCCGACGGCGCTGTCTGGAGCTGGGGCGGTGGAGGCTTTGGCAAGCTGGGCCACGGCGACCAGCAGCGCCAGCGGCTGCCGAAGAAAATCGAGGCCTTTGCTGGCCAGCGCGTCGTCGCTGTGTCGGCTGGAATGTTGCACAGCACCGCCATCATCGACGATGGCGCTGTCTTCACGTGGGGCAAGGGTGAAAGCGGCTGCCTTGGCCACGGGGAGGACCTGTCGGACCAGCTGCTGCCCAAGAAGATCGAGGCGTGGGAGCCGGGGCAGTGAGGTATCGGGGGGCTCGCTGGCCTCTGCACGGCGGGCCGTTTAGTGGCTCAGCTGCACAATGAGGAGCTTGTTGGAGTCGATCAGCCCGCGCGGTGTGCGGCGGGGTGTGAGAGCATGTGTGTGTGGGAAAGCGTCGGGTCGTAATGCCATGTTCGAATCCGGCAGTGTCGTGGCGAGATTTTCAATACCAAACAACTCTAACAACTCACACGTCATTGTGTCGTGGCGTGTCCATGCAGAAGAGAGGGAGTGCACTGCCCCAGTCCCACTGCTCAACGCTCAAGCTCAGGCGCCTCCCCTTGTTTGTCGCAGCTTTGCGCAGTGCTCGCAGGAGAGGAGCGCGCAGATCTTACGTGATACTAGTCACTAAGACGATTGCAGATACACATGCAACATGTTGTCACACTACACGCGACGCGCGAGCCTTCCGCGTTTGGTTTCTCAGGAATCACGCAAGCCGCTTCAACTCCGTCCGCCAAGGGCTGCATTTGTGGACTCCAGCGGGCACTCCAAGGGCTGCATTTGGACGCCCCCCCCCCCCCCTCCCCCCCCTCCTGCTTGGACCTTGTGCTTGCTCCGATCCTCCCTCCACGACACGTCCCGGACACGTGTTCTCGGGCCGACTTGAGAGCGAAACGGAATTACAATTGAGTAATCGGGGCATCCCGCGGGAGATCACGGTGATAGCGATAGTGATATCCGGGCGATCTCCAGAAGGGAACGAAATTTGCGAAACGCCAAGTCCTTCCCCTTTCGACACAGGTGTAATGTCGCCCGCGAATTTGCTGACCTCGAATCGTCCGATCCACCGACATATGGCAGACCTGGTGCTTATCTTGCGCCACGATGATGGGAGCCTCGAGGCCGTCAACGTCTCTCAGATCCTCTCGCTTGAGACCGTGCCAGAGTCCTTCTCGTGCGCACCCGACTCACCGCACGTTGGTCCACGATCACCGTTGGTGTCGCCGGACTCGCGAATCCATCGGGCCTGGATGAGCAATGCTATGCCCGCGGGCTAGCCTGTTGCCTCTACTCCGCGTCGGCGCCCCGACGCGTGGGACGCATGTGGCTCCTTTGCGCGGCGTTTGCCGACCCAACGTGGCTGGGTTGTCTAGAGGCAGCACGAGGCGAGCGAGCTGAGCAACCGAGCTCATGGTCGATGCGGAGGATCCTGCCTCCTCCCTGTAGCTAGTTAGAACCACCTTGAGAGAGCGAGAGAACCGCCACCGCCCGGCATGCTGCCCGGCCCTCTGTGAGTGCCCGCTGCGCGCTGCGCGTGGCTGCTGTGTGAGCTTCCGCTCACTCTCGCTGAGTTTCGGACTGCGCCCGTGGACAGGGGGAGGTGCTGCAGTGCGCGACCGTGGCACGGCAGAGGCCTGGCCCATTGTGCGTGCACGGGCTGGTGATGGTGTGTTCACATCAATATTACAATTAAAATAGAAAAAGATGATGTGATGGGGGGAGGTAAAGCAGCCGCGCGTAGTGTGAAGCAACACATAAAACTGCGCGGCCCCGCGGGGGGGCCACTCCGCGCTCGCGCGTCGCGGACATGCTCGCGGCACCGGATAACAAGAGCTCACCTCTCACTATCCGAGCTCCGGGCATGCTCTATGTGTCCGATCAAAGGCGACTGAGATGTCATGGGTCTTGCGCGTCACGGTCGCAACGGCCACGGCGTGCACTGGGGGAAAGGATGCAACAGGGATGCAAAGCGTCTCAGAGAGCGCGGAGAGTGCAGTGTGCGCAATGAGTAATTCTAGTCCGCGTCCTCCACCTCGCTACTCACCATTTCGCTGCTCACCGCCTCGCTGCCCACCGCCTCGCTGCCCACCGCCTCCGGCGCCGCGGCAACGTGAGTAGTCGCCGCCGCGGCGTCCTCACCATTACGACTCCCGCCACCGGCCTCCACCGCCGCGCCCAGCAGCCGCATGAACCGCGGCTTGATTGCGCTTGGCCGGCGCGGCCGCGCGAGCTGCTGGGCGGCGTCTCCTCGGGGCGGGGTGAGATCGTCCAGCCGTTCGAGCAGACGGTCGCGCGGGCCATCCTCGCCGCCGCCGCCGCCGCCGCGGGCAGGGAGGCGAGAGGTGGTGGTGGCGGCGGCGGCGGGGCGGGCCTTGCGGTTCGCGCGGCCACCGCGCCACGCCTGCGGAAGCGACTCCGCGTACTCTCCGTTTGGTCCAAAGAAGACGCGGTATGACCTCGCCGCCGCGTGCCGCTCCTCCACCGTCCAACCGGGAGGGAGGAGAGCCCGGTCCTTGGCGCGCCTCGCCAGCCACGCGTCCGAGCCGGCCCCGGAGCGGCTCGGAGGCGGGCCCACGCGCAAGCGCACGCCCACCCGCCCGTCATTGCTGACGGAGAACGCAACGGCGACGTGGCTGCCGCGCCGCGCCCTGCCCCGGACCTTTGTCCGCTTGCGCGGCCTTTCTCCGCAGGTCCACTCCTCCGCCTCCGGCTCGGAGGAGGAGCTGAGCAGCTCGCACTCAACCGCCACCGCCACATCATCCGCCGCCTCATCCCCCTCCTCTCCGCCCAGCAGCGGCTCAGCCCTGACCCACTCCACCTCCATCTCCACCGCCAGCGCCTCGCCGCCGTCGTGCTGCAGCTGCGGCTGCAGCTGCGGCTGCGCCTGCGGCGGCGGCGGCGGCGGCGGCGGCGGCGGCGGCGGCGGCGGCGGCGGCGGCGGCGGCGGCGGCGGCTGCGGCTGCGGCGGCGGCTGCGGCTGCTGCCAACGCCCAACAGCAGCAGCCACCGCCACCGCCAACTGTTGTGCTGCGAGCGCGTCCGCTGCAGCCCTATCTCGCTCGGCTGTAGCCCGCACCTCCGCCGCTGCCACCGCTTCGAAGGAGGCCGCGACCAGCTCCTCGTCCTGCGCCGAGTCAGAGAAGGCCGCGACCGTGTCCATGCCCGCTTCCGTGCTGAAAAAGAATTTTGCGATGGTACACTAGCCGTCCTCCCATTCTTTCCTTTTCTCGTGCGTTCCCTCTGAAGGCATCGGCGGATCCTCTCATTCCACATGGTTCGAACGACCGGTACGTGTGTACGTACATCACAGGGCATGAGAGAGCCCACATCCGGGTAATTCGCACGATGTGCTCTACGCTCTCGATCATCATCGCACATTGCCCTAGCGCTTGGCGTGACGGGCTAGTGCGCCGTACAGGCGCCAGAGGCGACCTGTGAAGGACAGAGTGCAAACAAGGCGCGGCGTCCTGCACGCCACGACCCCCACCTCGGTCGCAGGGGAGGGCGGGTGGCGACAGAAGCTGTGGCAGGCGCAGCGGCGAGCAGAGAGGCTCTGCCGCGCGCGGCACTTTCCATGTTCCATGGATCGCGTCACACCAATCCTCGCTACCCAACGCGGCCAAAGGATATCCACCTCGAGAACCTCGAGAGACATGAGACAACACAAGACTCCGAGACGGTGAGAGGAAACCGTCATCGACGTCACAGGCCATCGCAAATCTTTTGCATAATTTTGTCGAGATCTCTAAAAAGAAAAACAAATATCACGGCGTGTCTCGCACAAAGAACTGCGATCGTCATTTATCGACTTAAGGTTCTTCGGGCCAGTTGGGGGGGGCAAACCCTGCCCGGCCCCTAGAACCCCAGGTAAGGCCCAGGTATGGCCTAGGGCATCAGAAGGGACCAAGAGGAGTCCAGTCTGAGCCATAGAGCCCATGTCTTTGCCCCCGAAGGTCGCGTTCAAATGCCCGGAACGGCCGTCACAGTGGTGTCCGGCCGGCGCGATCACCGAGCTGTGACGCTCAGGGAAGCCTGATGAGGTACTGGTTTCTTTGCCCAGGGCTGGCCTTCCCCCCAGGCTGGATCAGCTGAGCAAGGTTTGGGGAGAATCCTATATTGGGATCTTCAGATATTTTGACGGATGACCGAAAATGGGCAAAAACGGGGTGATTTTGGTCATTTGACGGATGCACCTGGACCTTACCTGGGGTTCTAGGGGCAGGGTTTACCCCCCAACAGGAAGATTCTTAAAAAAGAAAAACTCAGCGGCGTCGCAAGTCACTGGCTTGCGATCGCCTTTTGAGATGAGCCCGCTGATCCTGTTCACCGCGGCCACCGCCGCGCCTACCGCCAAAAACGGCGCCTCCGGCCGCCTGCGGTCGGCGCTCCTCGCCTCGTACGACAAAGGCGTTTTCCCGTGGGAGGTTGCTTGGGAGGCGGCGCAGGCTGACGGGCCGGAGCGGTCGGGCTTGGAGGTCGAGATGGGCATCAACTTCCACCGTGTCCACTCCGTCGACGTCGTGAACCACGCCACGGACATGATCGTGTGGTATCGTCTGCGGTGGCACGACCCGCGGCTGGTGTGGAACGCCTCGCAGTATGGCGGGCTCACAACACTGCAGCTGTGGGTCGGTGACGGCACTGGCGCGGGCGAGACGTCCGAGATTTGGACGCCGGACATGACCCTGTGGAACCAGGGCGAGTCGATGCAGACCTCGCTCTCCAGCGCCTTCGCGAGCGTTTCGAGCGACGGCACCGTCTTCTGGTCACGGCCCGGCCACCTCCGCCCCACTTGCAAGTTCGTCGGACTCGACAGCTTCCCGTTTGACGAGCTGGGATGCACGATGGAGTTCGGCAGCTGGAGCTTCAGGCCCGACCGAGGAGCGCTGGAGAGGCGCGACACGGCGATAGCCTCACGATGCGGTTGTGTGAATAGCGGCCTCTACCTCCGCCCCGTCAAGATGGACGCCGGCTTCAGCATCGGAGGCTCCGAGACGGCGGGGGAGTCCTTCCAAGAGTTCTCGCTCGAGCGTGTCAGCTGCCGCGAGAACGTCTACCCGCCCTACCCTGGCGACCCAGAGAATGACTGGCCCGTCCTCCTCTACGAGGTGTGCTGCACACACGCTCACAGATACGCACGCTCGGGGAAGCCTACTCTCGGCTACTCTCGGCACAGCGCAGACGGTCAAGGACACGTGTCCTCTCGCACCTCCTCGCACGCTGCTCGCTCGCGTGTCCGATCCGCAGGTCGTCTTCCAGCGAGCTTGGCAGCCGTACACCCGTGGCTACATCTTATTGCAGGCCTTCCAATACAACACGCCCCCGCGCCTCGGACCCCCTCCACCCCGCCTCCTCCCCTCTGCCGCTCCCGCTCTCCCGCTCCTCCGATTCCTCCTCCTGCCGCAGGTGGTGCTAAACATAATCGGCTTCCTCTGCTTCAGCGTCCCGCCCCAGTGCGGCGAGCGGCTCGGCCTCGGCATCACGGCCGCCTCCTTTCTTCTTTTCCTTAGGTGTGCGGAGGGGGAACAAGCTTCCTGAGCTCTCTCGGAGCCGTCCCTAGGCGTTGCTCGCTGCCGTGGCATCCGACTTCGTCATCGCGGCAAAGCTTCCGGCTGCGCGCGAGATGACGTGGTCCGCGAGCTTCTCTCTCTAACTCGCTCCTGCCGGGACCCTTCTCGGACCCTTCCTCGGACCCTCTGTGTAGGTTTGCGCAGTTCTCCGCCTTCAGGTGTGCACACACGCACTCGAGGCCTGTATACCTCCCGCCCGTCAACTCCCCCCCCCCCTCCCCCTCCTCCCCTTCCAGCCTCGCGTACGCCGCGGCGGTGCTGGTCGAGTCGTGCATCGTCATCGGCCTCTACTACAAGACCTCCGAGTCGCTCCTGCCCAGCTGCCTGCGCTGGGCGAGCCGGCGCGCGGCGGCCGTCGGCCTCCGCCGAGTTGTGTCCACAGGAACGGCGGCGGCCGTCGGCCTCCGCCGAGTTGTGTCCACAGGAACGGGCGAAGAGCTAGACGCGCCAACCCGCGAGGTTAGCGGAGCCGGCGCGCACGCGCCGACGGAGTTCTCGCGGCGCGACGCAAACGACTTCCGGCACGAGGCCGAGAAGGACCTCAACACAAAGTGGCAGCGGGTGGCATGCGCCATCGACGAGGTGGCGCGGTGGGTGGTGCCTCTCTCGTACGCCGTCGGACTCGCCTGCCTGCTCGCCGTCAAATAGAGGCGGCGCGACGGAGAGAGAGAGAGAGTGTCCTTGTCCCATCCGTGGACCACGACCAGAGCACGAGACGAAAAGAGGAAAGAGTAAGAGAAACGGCGCATCAACCCCAGAGTGCGCAGAGATATAGAGACTGGCAGACTCCATGGGAGTTCGAGCCGACCCCTCACGTCCCCGACATGCCGGTAAACACTCGCGGAGGCAGGGAGGAGCGACCGACCTTCCGGTCCCAAATGTGTCCACATGCGCGCGTGTGTGGTGCGCGGCGCACACGGTGCGCCACGCCGGATCCGCCGGCCGCACGCGGACCTGCCGCGCGCACGCCATGGCTGGCTGTGCACAGTCCTCTGCCGCCCCGCCCCGCGCCTCGCCCACGCCTCTCGGTAGGGGAGAGCGGCCACAGATTAGCGGCGGGACGGCCTCGCTAAGAGCTCTGCCCCGCCACCTCTGACCTTCCCCCACCTTTCCCCACCCCCCACCCGCCGGTCTCCCGGCCGGCGCGCTGGTCGCCGAGGCCGCTTGCTTTTTGCCACATGCTCGGGGCCGCCTTAAGCACCCCAGCGGAGGCTCGCCGCCACGATCTTGACCGCCTCGTCCACCGCCGCCTCTTGCCCGGCCTATGGCTCACCGCATCACGCCGGTCACGCCTTCGGTGCTGCCAGACCGCGCCGCGTCGGGGCCTCCCGAGCGCGCAGCCTTGTGCGCACTGGCCGCCAGGAAGGAGAGCCGTCCCCGCGCCGGCTTGATGCGCTCGTCGGCGGTGCCCGCGGCGAGGGCGGCGTCGGCGGCCGCGAGCGCGGCTGCCCAGCCGACCGCGTCGCGTGGCGCCTAAAAGCGCGCGGCACACCGCCAAGGCCACGTCATTGAAGGGAGCGTGCATTGAAGGAAGCACGCGTCTCGACGGCAGCGGTGCAAGCGCCGCCTGCGCGGCCGCGCTCACGAAGCAGCTGAGCGCATCGACCAGCCGCGACGCAGAGCGGCCGCGGCCAAAGCCGTCGCGCAGCAGCTCCGCCGCCTTGGTGTAGAAGGACTTTGCCGCGGAGCGCGGCGTCGGCGCAGTCATCGCCGCCTCACACCACACCTGCGCCGCCGAGCTGCGCAGCCTGTCGGCGGCGGCGCCCTCCGGCTGCGCAGCCGCGCCCTGCAGCAGCGCGACGGCGGCGAGGTGGAGGAGTCGGCCCGTCGCCGCCGCGTCCTTCGCCTCCTTGGCCTCGAAGTAGAGGCGCTTTCCGCCCATCACGAGCGCGCTGGCGCGGTCGGCGCCCTTGAGGTACGCCTGGGGGGCCGCAAGATGAGAAGTGAGTGGTGTGGGTGAGGGTGCTACGTGTGAGAGAGGCTGCGCCTTCTCGGCGTGCGCCCACAGCTTGTTGCGCTCGAGATTGGCGGCCTGGCGCAGCCAGTCCTGCGCGCTCGACTTGCGGCTCTTCGTCTTGGTCACGGAGAGGAGGCTCTCGAGCCCGCTCTCGGCGACGCCCGCGCGGCTGAGGTAGCCAAAGAGGGGCGCGCGCCGCTCGGTCGACGAGTCGTAGACGAAGCAGCGCTTGCGCGCCCGTGTCATGGCGACGTAGAGCATCTTGAGCTCCACGCACAGCACCTGATCGCGCAGCGTGTCGAAGGCGTGCGGAGCGGTCGCGCCCGGCGCCACCTCGCCGTCGATGGCGCCGACCACCGGCCAGGTGCAAGCCTTGTCGGAGTCGGCGAAGAAGTCGAAGATGCAGACGTCGTCAAACTCGAGGCCCTTGCTCTCCTCGACAGTCAGGACGAGCCCCGAGCGTGGGCTCCGCCCTGCGGCGTGTGGGGGAGCGACTTTCAGAGGCGGGCGGTCAGAGGATCAGTGGAGTCGTGGTGGTACCGGACGCACCAAACGCAGGCTGGTCTCGGCTGCTTCGCCATTTTTCAATATTGGGACGCTATGCCGTCGATGATGGCCCTCAGACCCGGGGGGAGGGGGTAGTCGAGATGCAGCAGATGGGGAGATTCGTCAGCTGTCGAGTCCGGCGCCCGACGCTCATCCTGTCTTTTCCCCGGGCGTCAGGCGCGACGCCGGCGCTCCTCCCTTGCGGCCGGCCACAGGTCATGATGGCCGGCTCGTTCCTCTGGAGCCCTCCGGGGCCGAAGGCTAAGTCGACGGAGAGAGGCAACCTCGTCCAGGTCGCCTCCACCTTCGACCCGTCGGCGGTCGAGCCCGACCGCGGCGGATGGCCCATCGCAGTGGCCGAGCTCTTGGGCGTGCGCGGGAAGCTGCGTACCTTCGAGCTCCTGGACGGCAGCGCGCGCGGCGGGTGCAGCTACTATGACGGCTCGACTCGCTCGCCATGGGAGTACAACAGTTCGGACCTCGCCAACTACTGGCTCGTCAACGACTTCGTCACTCGGGAGGATCCCTCGGGCGCCGGGGTCGTAGGCCGCTTCTCCTTCGATTGGAAGGCGGCCGTGCAGCAGCTGGAGAGGTGGCGGGCGCAGAGCGCCACCGGCGGTGCCACCCCGCCGACCGACGGCGACGCCACGCTAGCCGAGGCGATTGGGGGCTTGCGGGTCGACGAGGGCGGCAACTCTCCAGACGACGCCTTGAAGCTGGCTCGTGCCTCAGCGGACGAGGCAGTAGCGGCGCGGAGGCGCGTCGTGCCGAACGCCGCTCCAGCTGCCAGCTCGAAGGACCGAGAGCCGTCGGTCTCGGGCGCCGTCCAGCACTGCCAGAGCCGCGGCATGACATGCGCGGGCTGTGGAGTTGTGTTTGGGCTGGGCGCCAAGATCGAGCCGCGTGGCGCCGGCTTCGTACACGCCGGCCGTGACGAATGCGGCCGAGCCGCCGACGAGAAGGCTCCGGCTGTCATCGAGTCGGTGAGCCGGAGGGAGGCGTCCCTCGAGACGGTCCTGGGCGCCGGACGTGTCGAGACGGCGCTCAAGTGCCTCCAAGGGGGGTGCAGTGCCACAGGCGACAAGTACATCTGTGGACGCTGCGGCTCCTACGGGCTCCACCGCGAGTGCGCGGGCTTGTCGAAATACCAGGTCGAGCCGGGACAGCTCGTCTGTGCCGTGTGCAGGGCCGAAGCCATGACGCCGGACGGCCACTCACCCACCGACCTCGTCCTCCGACGCGCCGCTCGGACGATGCTCGCCGAGCTGGGCACCAAGGCGTCCTCCACGTCGAAGAACCACGCGGAGTTCACCCGTCTCGAGGAGGTGTGGGCTACGAGTATGGGCGGCGGCGTCGTCCTGCCCCGCTACCGTGTCGAGTCGATGCTCGAGTTTATCAACTGGCTCGCGATGGACTCCGGCCGCGCTCGCTCGTTCGAGACGATCCTGAGGGCGGCGGGCGGAGTCATCGCCAAGACCACCGCCAACGGCATAATGTCCGACCCCCGGGTGAAGGCGCTCCGCGCGAGGATGGTCAGCCTGATCGGCGAGCTCGCGCAGCCGTGCACGCACACCACGCGCAAGCTCGCTCGACTCGTTCTCGACGAGACGCTCAAGACGTGCTGCACCGGCGCCAAGGCGGAGGCAGTCTACTCGAGTCATCGCGTCATGTTCCTCCTTGAGGTGATGATGGGGTTGCGGCTCGGCGAGACGACGGGCCGCCAGCACGGCGTCGCCGCCTGCGACGTGTGGATCGTCAACCCGCTCTCAGAGCGATGTGCCGAGATGGGGACGACTGTTGCCGCCCACCTCGAGTCCACGAAGACGGCCCAGGGGAAGGGCCGGTGGGCTCACTGTGTGGGCACGTCACTCACCTCTGAGTTCAGCCTCGAGTCTGCCGTGCGGGATCTGTGGCGTGTGCAGGGGCACTCGACCGAGACGGTCACGGTGGACGGCTTCAAGGTGGAGCGGCCGGACTACTCTGTCGTGCAGCTGCGTGTCGGGGCGAGCCTGCCAGACGGCGCTTTCGACACCTTCGTCGGGGCCCTCGGCCGGCTGCCGAGTGACCACCCGCTCCGGCCAGCGGCCAAATACCTTGGCCGCACCGCGACTCAGAAGAGGAAGGCGGCGACCATCGAGGAGGGCGATCGGTACGTCAACCTCGTTGGGGGAGCCAAGGGTTCTGCCAGACTCCGCGCTGCCAGCGAGTGGTTGGCGGGACTGGGGCTCACCCAGTACGCCGCCGTCGTCAAAGGCCCGCTCATCCGGGCGACAGACGGCGGGCGCCTCACCGATACTCCGCTAGAGACTGGCTCGTCATATAGCCATTCTACGAAAGCGCTCAAGCTCGCGTACGAGCTCCTCCGCGAGCGCGACGAGGAGGACCTCGAGCTTGCGATTGAGGAGGACGAGGCGGGCAACCCAATTGTCAAGTTTGCCCACCATTCGAACCGACGGTTCTCGGACAAGGTGGCGCGGGACACGAGCGATGTCACGGGCGCTACCATCACAGACATCGACTGCATCTTCGGCTGGAACGAGCAGGAGCGAGAGAGGTCGATGCAGCAGCACTACGCCGGCCTCGATCTCGCCTCGCGCATCGAGCGGCTCGCGCGAGTGACTATGATGGTGTAGTGGCTGAGGGGCTGGGGCAGGGCTCGAGATCATGTTCTACGATGGATGGCGATGGGGGTTGGTCCTGCAACGGTGTCTCGTGCGGAGCAGTGGTGTGCTGTCGCGCGAGGGTTGCAGGCGTGAGGGTCGAGGGTACCTTTTCCCCCCTTTGCTATTAACAATGCTTTGGAATCTATGAACATGACCTCGAGTGGAGCCCCAGTCCTCGACAGGCTCATGACGATCGGCCGTCGATCCCGAAGGGTCGTCGGTTGAGCTAGGGAGCCTGGCGATGGACGCCACCGCGACCCCTCGTGGCATCTCTCTCGCCGTCGGCGAGCCGGGGGCTCGCAGACGGCCGACTTTCTATATAACCAGTAGGACAGCCGTGAGTGTGAATCGGATAGGGAGTTTGCGTCCGTCCACCGTCTTCGTGGACGTCTGTCCTCGTGACACCCACACCCCACACGGCCTGTTTTGCTTCCCCACCCACCCTCCCTATTGTGTGCGCTGTCGCGTTTTGGGGTTGGTCCTGCAACGGTGTCTCGTGCGGAGCAGTGGTGTGCTGTCGCGCGAGGGTTGCAGGCGTGAGGGTCGAGGGTACCTTTTCCCCCCTTTGCTATTAACAATGCTTTGGAATCTATGAACATGACCTCGAGTGGAGCCCCAGTCCTCGACAGGCTCAGGTGGCGACGGTGGCGGCGGTGCCAAACGGGGCTCCGGCGGCGAGGATAGTGGTGGCGATTGGCGATGTAGGGCAAGGCGGCGGGGCGGGCGACAACGGTGTGGCTTGGGGCAGCGAGACCTCGCGGTAGAGCGCGCCCACGTGCAGCTGCTTGTCCTTGAGCGAGCTGTGGCCCTGCAGCAGCCGGCCGAAGCCCTCAAAGGTGAGCAGGGACCGCTCGCCCGCGCCGCTGGCGCGCTTCGCCCGCCGCGCCGCGCCCGCCGCGCCCGCCTCGCCGCGCCCGTTCGCCAGGTCGCGCGGCGACGAGGGCTCCGCCGGCGCGAGGAGCGGCGCGAGGCTGTCGCCGCCGCCGTCCGTCGCAGAGAGGAAGCGCGCCACCTCCTGGTCGGACTTGAACCAGCGCTGGTCGGGCGGCAGGCAGCGGTCGAGCAGCACCAGCCACTCGGACGAGGAGAGGAAGAGGGGCGCGTCCAGCTCGGGCTCGGCCGCGACGAAGGCCTCCTTGAGGCGGGCGGCGGGCGGCGGCTGCGCGCCGAGCGGAGCCACGAGTCCCGCGTGGTGGCTCTCGATTCGCGAGGCGAGCGTGCGGCTCTTGCAGAGGAAGAGCACCTATTCACAGCTGCGCTGTTCACAGCTGGACTATTCACAGCGGCTCTTGCAGAGGAAGAGCACCTATTCACAGCTGCGCTGTTCACAGCTGGACTATTCACAGTGCGGCTCTTGCAGAGGAAGAGCACGTTGGCGTGCGGCGGCGCGCCCTCGCCATCGGCCTCCAGACGGGCCGGCGCCCCCTCAGCCACGCGCTGCTCTGCGACGCGGCGCCGCTCGTTGGCTGCGTGGGTGCGGTAGAGGAGCTCGTTGCAGAGGGACGTCTTGCCCGTGCCGGAGCGGCCGACCAGCAGCGTGGAGCAGGTCGGCTGCGGCGGCGGCACGAGCGCCTCCTCGTGCGCGTCGAGGAGGAGCGGCAGCTGGACGTCCTGCACGTCCGGGTTGAGGAGGAGGAGCTTGGGCAGCGTGTCGCTCACGGCGTACCACTTGATGACGTAGGGTACCTGAGGGCGCAGCGCCGGATGTCGGGGCATCGCCGCCGCGCCGCTCTGCGACACTGGCAGGCGTGCGGCACCGCCAGCTCGCCGCCGTCCTCGGCGTGGACCGGGTGCCACTTGTCGCTCGGGTGCGAGAGCTCGTTGGTGGTGCCCATCGGGAAGCGGCCCTCGGTGTCGCGCCGCCCCCTCTCGCCGTAGGCCCACGCCTCCTCGACGTACAGCGCCACCTCGTGCAGCGACACGTCGGAGGTCTCGATCGACCACACGCGGATCGCCTCGGCGCCGCGCGCAGCCTCGAAGAAGGGGCGCCCCTCGCTGCTCCGCTCCCACACGACGGCGAAGACCGCCTCGCCGCCCTTGCCCAGGCTCGCGCTGACGCGCAGCGGCACCGCCTCCGAGCCGGGGCAAGGGCTCGACGTCGCCTCGCCCGCGCCAGAGGCGAGCGTGTGGAAGAGCGCCAGCGCCTTGCGCCGCCTGGCGACGTCCATCATCGTCAGCTGCAGCCAGACGTGCCGCGTGAGGACGACGCGGATCGGCTGGGCGCCGAAGCAGAGACGCTTCACGAGCTTCCGGCTGCGCTCCTGTTGGGGGCGGTGGAGGCGGTGGGGGAAAGCGGCGACAGTGAGGGCGGCGGCGGTGAGGGTGGCAGCGGCGGCGGGGGCGCACGCCTCGCCACTCACCACGAGGCTCGCCGGTGAAGGCTCCGCCTCCGCCTCTGCCTCCGCCTCGCCGTTCTCTGGCTTGTGCGTCGGCGGCGCGCGGGGTGAAGCGGCACGCTTGGACTTGGCGGCCTTGGACGTGGCGCCGGTGGCGGCGCCGCGGAGGCTGAGCAGCTCGGCCACGCTCGCCTGAGGTGCGGGCGGGCGGACCGGACTCGAGAGGAGTGGGGGCTATCTGTTCTCGTGCAGGAGCAGGGGCTGCAGCATGCAAGAGACGACCAGGCGAAGTGCCGCCCTCACAGGCTGCGGGTCGTGCTCACCTCGGGGCGGAGGATCGAATCGATCGACGGCAGCGTGCCGCCCGCGGCGCGCAGCCGCTCCTCCGCCGCTTGCGCCAGCCGCGCGGCCTCCTCGCGCAGCTTGGCCACGAGCGCCGCCACGCCGCCGCTTGCGTCACAGAGCGCGAGCGGCGTCACGTGCCGTCGGTTCTGCGTCCCGTAGCCCTCGAAGCTGTGGGCGCCCATCTCCGGCTGCGCCGCGAGGAGGCCTGCCACCGCGCGGTCGTCGATGGCGCAGCAGAGGTGCAGCGGCAGGTTGCTGCGCGCGTCGCGCTGCAGCGGGTTGGCCCTCCCGAGCAGCGGGTCGAGCAGCAGCCTACGCAAGAGAGCAAACGGCGTTGAAAGCGGGGAAGGCCAGAGGGAGGTCAGGGATTAGCGACCTGAGCAGGTCGGCGCCACTCTCGCCGCCACTGCGCACCGTCGGTCGGTCCCTGTCGCGCCCCCAGACGTACAGCCCGCCCGCGGCGGCGAGGTGCGTCGCCGACTGGCCGCACCAACGGCCTGTGTCCGGCCACCTCAGGTTGGGGTCGGCGTCGCCTTGGAGCAGCGCCTAGCAAAAGGTTGGGAGGGGGGAGGGGGGGTGGGTGGGGGGGGGGGGCGTCAGCTCCAACTCCTCCGGGAAGGTGACTGTGCGCTCATCCAGGCGCAGGCGCCTCGACGACGGGAAGCAGAGCCGCGTGCGGCGCCATGGCGAAGGCGTGCAGTGGCGCGTCAGCCCACCGCCCATCCTGCCTGGTGACGAGCGCCGTCCTCAGCTCCTCCTGCGCCTTCGCCGGCCAGATGCCAAACGGCACGTACGCAAGGAGGAGCCGGCCGACAGCCTGCGCCCCCACCGCGGCGGCGGAGGGCGGCTCACCCTCAGAGGGCCGCGCGAATGCCGTGCCGACGGCGAGGCTCTGCGCCGCGGCTTGCCACGCTGCCGCCTCTGCCTGCCCGCTGCTGCTCTCGAGCCCCAGGTGCGCCCACGCGAGCCACGGGAGGCACTGCCGCAGCAGCATCTCGAAGGGGGAGAGGGAGCGGGCGGGGCTGCCAGCGCTCAGCTCGAACGGCTCGCTCTGCGCGGCGGGGTTGGCGCCGTGGCGCACGAGCAAGGTGAGCATCGGCCCGAGCCGAGTGACCGAGGACTCGTCGCACTGCTCCGCCACCGCGGGCAGCAGCCGCGTCAGCGCCGCCCTCATCTCTGCATCCGTCTTGATGGACTCCGCCTCGATAGCTGGGAGCTGGAACGCGCAGAGCGAGGTGAGCGCGCGCTGGCTGCCGCAGACAGCGGCGCACGAGAGCGGCGTCGCGCCCGTGAGCGGCGCCTCAGCCAGCGCCGAGAAGCCCGCCTGCAGGAGGGCCTCGGTCGCCTCGACGTCGTCCATGCACGCCGCGACATGCAGGGGCGACCAGCCCGAGCTCAGGTCGGCAGCCTCCTCGCACAAGTGCGCCACGAGCAGGGCACGAGGGCGCACGTCGCCCGCAGCCGCCTCCTGCAGCGCTTCAAGCAGCGGTGGCGCCCCTCCAACCTCAAAGGGCAGCAGGGCGGCGATGCCCTCGAGCAGCGAGCAGAGCTCCTACAGTACTCGCGTCACGCTGGTCACAGTCATCGCACGCAAGGCGCTCGGCTCCGCAGCAACACGCGAGGGCCTTGATGCTCGAGACCCGCAAAACCTGGTCCGCTGGCGCGCCAGCGAGCACCGACAGGGCCGCTCCTGGCGCAAGCGGCGTGCCGGGCTTGCTCTCCTCGTCGATGCCGCACTCGCCGAGTCTCTTCCTCAGCCGGTCGAGGGCGTGCGGCCCCGCCTTTGGGTCGGCGGCGCGCTGGCTCAGGAGCAACTCCAGCAGCGAATGCAACGAGCCGTCGTCGGAGCGGAGCACACCGGCCAGCACGCCGTTGGTCGTGCGCGACTCCGACGCGAGGCACGCCTCGACCTCGCCCTCGGTGGCAGCGCCGAGAGACCACCGCGTGAGTGCGCCGGCGGGCAGCGCCTGCCACAAGCACTCGAGAGGCGCCCGCCACCCGCCGAGGGCGTCGGCCTGCGCCGCAGACCGAGGGCCGAGCACGACGCTGTTGTCGACCGGCGGGCAAGCGAGCGCGCCGCGCCACGCGTCCGCGAGCGCGCGGCGCACGTCTGGCGCCTCATGCCAGCTGGCCTTGGCGCCTGCGGCCGCGGCAGAGAGTAGCGCCTGCAGCGCTGGCACGCTGCGCCGCTCGACGGCGAGCCGGATGGCACTCTTGCGCTCGACCTGCAGCTGCAGCGTGATGACCTGCTGCTGGTGCGGCGCCTCCACCGCCTCTCTCTCATCCTCGGCCTCGGCGATGGCGGGCATGCCGCTCGGGCGGGCGCCGCCGGTGCTGCACCCGCGGACGAAGCGGGTCGTCTTTGCGCTCCTCAGCATGGCCCGCACTGCCGCGTGGGCGTCGGCCTGCTCGGCGAGCGACTCGAGCTGGTGCTCGGCTGCCTGGAGCAACCTCGACGCCTTTTGGCTGTGCGCCTGAGCCGCCGCCCTCAAGGCCGCCGACGCCTCGTACTCTCGCTTGGCTTTCGCCGCCCGCTCGCGCGCCTCTCGCTCGAGGTTGCGCAAAAGCGAGTTGGCGCGGCTGGCGTCGGCATCGGCGTTTTCGGACGCCTCCTTTGCCTCCAAGTACTCCTTCTCCACGAGCGATCCGTTCAGGGTAGCCATCGCCGCTGCAGCCGTCAGGCCGTCATGCTCCGCCACAGCGCGATGCTTCGCCACCCGGAACGCCTTCTCCTTTCCGAGCAAGCTCTTGTTCAACGCGGCGCGCACCTCCTTCGCTTCGACCTCGGCGGCCGCCGCGTGGTCCATCTCCAACGTGTTCTCGTCCTCGACGGGGCGTGCGCGATACTGGGCAGCATCCGCCATCGCCTCCTCATTCTTCTCGTTCATTCTGGCCAGCAGCGCCTCGCGCCGCCCCTCGACGTTCTCCTTGGCCGAGTCGAGCAGCGCGGTCGCCTCGTCGTACCGCTTGGCGCGGACCAGCTCGAGGTGAGTGCGGCGCATCTCCAGAACCCAGTCGCGGAGCGACGCCCACTCGTCCGCGTCGCTCGCCAGGTCGCTCTCGAGGAAGGTGGCCATCTGCTCGACAACCCCGCCGGCGCCGAGGAGCTTGGTCAGCGAGGACTCGAGAGCGGCGAGTGCGGTCACGACGCCAGCCTCGTCGGTCAGGCGGTGGGAGACTGCCTGTAGCTTGAAGTCGGAGAGCGCCTCCGAGCAGTGCGGCTTGGACAGCTTGCGCGCCTGGTCGGTGGCGAGGCGCAGAAGCTTCTGCCGCCGCTCGGCGGGGACGCTGACGCCCGACAGCTCGAGCAGCTTCTTGTCCACCCTCTCTTGCGGCCACGCGGACCACTCGCGTCGGACCCGCGCCAGCTGCTTGTCCCGGAAGGCGCAGAAGGCAGCGACCTGCAGAGGCGGCGGTGCGAGATGGAGGAGGCGAGGGTTCGCGGCACAGTGAGGGGGCCGGTGCTGCGGCGGGCCTTGTGCGCGAAGTCGTCGCACTTCTTGCGCGTTTCCGGGCGAGCTCCTGCCCACAGGCTGCGGAGCTGCTGGTCGAGATCGTCGCCGGCCAGCCCAGCAAGCGGCTTCTTCGGGTCATGCAGCGCCTGGTCGGCAAAGACGTCGAAGCCGCTCGCGGCATCCGAGCCGAGCGGCACGAGGTCGTTGTCGCAGCAGTAGGTTCGGTAGCACCTGTGAGAGACGAGGGGCATCACCAAGGGGAGGAGAGGGGGCGAGTGACGTGGGTGTCGCCAACGGGCTCCGCCCGCATGCCGGAGGAGCGCACCGCACAAAGTCGTCCTCGGCCATCATCCGGTGCTCCTCGAAGCGGAGCTCCTCGCTGCCCAGGAAGAGGCGCAGCGATGCGTCGGCGGGCGAGAGCGCGCAGGCGATGGCCGACGCGTCCTTGACGAGGAGCGGCTCCTTGAGCGTCTCGTCCCCGCGTGCGATCACGCTGGCGCTGAGGATCACGTCGTCTGAGAGAAGACCTGCGGCGTCGGCGGCACAGCCCTCCGCGACGTCGCTCACGACGAGCCCGTGGCCCGACGGCGCGAGGGCGAGCCGGCAGCCGATCGACGCGTTGTCGAACTTGAGCAGGCAGGCGCTCAGCGTCCGGCTCTCCCCGACGAGGCTTGCCACCGTCTGGCGCGGCAGCCGGAGCTGCACTCGATGGCAGTATTTCAACTGCTTCAGCTTGCCCTCCTTGGCGGCGAGGTCCACCTCGGCGGCGGCCTCCTCTGTCTCCGCCTGCGTGACCGCCGCGCGTGCAGCGAGCCACTTCTGCTCGCGCTCCTTGGCCTTGTGCTTGAAGTTGGCGATCTCTAGCTCCTTCTGCTTGATGTACTCGGGTGTCTTGCGGATGACCTCCGCGAGCTCCTCAGGTTCGATCGTGGGCTCGAGTGCGTCCTCCTCGTGCTCCAAGAGGATGGCCTTCTCCGCCTGCTCCTGCGTGAAGTCGCGCGTGGACGAGCTTGCGCGCGGCGCCGGGTCGGAATCGCACTTGAACGGCTCGATGTCTCCAGCGCGCCCGTCAGCACAGACCCAGCGCTTCGCCGGAAAAGAGATGCTCACGCCGAACGCCCCCTTCAAGTCCCTCAGCCTGCTAGAAAGGTCCTTGAGCATCGACTGCCGTGTCTCCTCCGCAACCTTGGGGTCCTCTGCCCGCGTCTTCGTGTCCACGCAGCTGTCCACAAGCACCTGTGTTGTGCGTGGAGGGAGGGTGGAGGGGTGGGGTTTGTGATGGTGGGTGGGAGCGGGGCTGCGGTGGAGGCGAGAGGGGGGAGGGACGGCGCGCCTTGATGCGGATGTTCGGCGGCCACGGCTTGGGAGTCGCCGGGGATGCCTCCGTGATCGGCGGCATGGTCGACGGCTTGGTCGGCGGCTTGGTCGGCGGCTTGGTTGGCGCCGGCTTTGACTTGACGACGAGCGTGCCAGCCTCCGGCGTGGCCTCGCTGAGCTGGACTCGCACGCTCGTGGGGGAGGTCGCCGCCAGCGCGAGCGAGACGGGCGGGCGAGCGGGCGAGGCGGGCGAGGTGGGTGGCGAGGCGGGCGAGGCGGGCGGCGAGGCGGGCGCGGCGGGCGCGGCGGTGCGTCGCTCGCGCCGCGCCACGCGGATGCCAAAGAGGAGCCGTGCCCAGCCCGCTTGCAGATGCGCCTCGCGCGCGCAGCGGAGCGACGCCTTCTTGTAGTTCTGCTGATGCTCCGGTGAGGCGAGAAATTTCAGGTATGTCTCGCATTCGGTCTGATAGTCTCGGGCTTGTTCGATCTTCTTCTCCGCGTGCGCCACCACGTCCTTCTCCTGCCCCCTCTCACGCTCCACCTAGAGTGGACGCGCCGGTGACGCGTCTTGAGGGGTCATGGCCTCGCCATGCACGGCTCAGCGCGCCTCAGCCTCCGTCTTCTCGAGCTCCGCTTTCATTGCCTGCGTCGCCTTCTGCTTCCCCGTCCGCGCCTCGTCCTTGTCCCTCCTCTGGAGGTAGGCGGTGGCCACCTCCTTGCTCGACAACGTCATCGTCGTGAGGCGCTTCTCCTCCTCCACCTCGCACCGCACTGGCGCACTCACGCTCCCGTAGATCTCGCGCAGCGCGCCGGCCGTCTTGTGCGGCTCGGTCGTACCAGTGAAGGTCAGGAGGAAAGCGTCGCTGCCGTCTTCGGTGGGGGTCGCCTCTGCCGCGACACCGAGGTCGCGTTCGCATCGCCGGACCAGCTCCTGCGGAGGCCAGCGTCAAGCGGCTCTTGGCAGCGGCAGAGGTCATAAGTCGGGCCATGGGCTGAGTGGCACTGTGACTGTGTGTGTGTGTGTGGGGGGGGGTGGCTCCGCTAGGCCAGGGAGGAGTGTGTGCTGGGGGGTGGCTCTGCTAGGTCGGGGAAGTGGGACAGAGCGTGCCTGGTGCGATCCCGCCGTGAGGGGCATCGCCAAGAGGGCGTTGAGGAGGTCGACGCGGCCGGCCCTGTGCGCAACGGGAAGTCTCGGTGGGGAGCGTGGGGGGTGGCCCTGGCAGCGCGAGGGGCCTGGCGCACCGCACGCAGACGCCGAGCCCGATCAGAGCATCGGAGTGGGAGAGGCCTCCGACGCGCTCGACGTGCGGCTCACAGAGGCGGAGCACGTCCTCGGGCAGCCCGCGCAGGCACGCGTTCGGGCTCACCGCGGCCTGCTCAAACAGCAGCTCCATCGCCCGGAAGGGCAGGTCCTCGTAGTGGGAGGCGATGGCGGCCTCGCCCACGCCCTTCGAGAGTGCGCCCAGCTCTGACAGGTGGCCCCGCCCCATCTTCCTCGCGAGCAGCAGGCCCGCCGCGTGGCGCGCGTTGGCGTCGTTCATCCGGCGCGCCTGCCTCAGCGCCGCATCGTCTTGAGCAGGCTTGCTGTCGTGGGGCGGCTTTGCCTTGGCCGCCTTTGCGGTGGCCTTTGAGGCGGCCGTCAGCAGCCGCAGAACGCCCCTCGGCTCCGCCTCGGGGCCTGGCCGCAGCCGCAGCGCGCCGTCGTGCAGCATCGCCTCGAACGCCACGAGCTGCTTCTTGATCTCGCTGCCCTCGGACGGCGAGAAGGCGGCCGAGTTGGCGATGCGGCTGAGCGGCAGACCCACCCTCTCGATGGCGACGAGCCGCTCCTCGAGGGTGCCGTCGCTCGCACTGCTCGCCAGGCCGAGGCTGCGCTCCAGCTTGCCGATCCGCTGCGCGAGGGTGGCCGTATCCGCGGGCTCGATGCCGAGGGACTCCTCGCAGCGGGCCACCCGAGGCTTCATCTCTGCCTCCGACAGGAGAGGGGCGCTGACGGGGGCGGCCTTGGGCGGCGTCGGCCCGGCGAACGCAGAGAGGCTCTTCTCGGCCGCAGCGCTCAGCTCGGCGGGCGGTAGCGTCGGCTTGCGCGCCAGCGTGTCGCGGTCCAGGCGGGTGCGCTGCGCGAGGCGGCTCAGAGGCGGCACCGCGGGCGCGTCGAGAGGCGCAACGGAGCGCCGTGGCCGCGGCGCGTGCAGTGCGGCGGTGCTGCTCACCGACCGCTGCACCTGAGCGGGCTTGTCCTTGGTCTTGCCCGCCGGCAACGAGGACGCCCTCGCGAGGGGGCTGGGCGCCGGTGCCACGCCCTCCTTGTTCGTGCCGTTGGGGGAGGACTGTCCTGGCGGCTTTGGCGGCGGCGGTGCCGGCGCGGGCGCCGATGGCTTTGGCGGCGCGGGCCGCTGCGGGATCGGCTTGGCCTCTGACCACTGCGGGGCGATGCTGAAGGGCACCGGCTCGGGTGGCGGCGTGGGCTTGGAGCTGGACTTCCCTGCAACGGGGGGGGGGGACGCCTGAGTGTGCGGTGTGTGGCGGGGGCGCTGTCTCGACAGGGGCCACGTGGCGAAGGCGCGAGACGGGCACCTGCGGCGGGCTTGCGTGGCTGCGTCCGCGGCGTGCTCGGCCGTGCACCGCTCCTCGTCGCGGGCGAGGCCGAGGGCGAGGAGGGCGAGACGGACCGCGCACTGGCCGAGAGCGACGAGGGCGAAGGTGGCCCCGCACTCTCGCCGCTCGCCGCTGCCACGGCCTTGGCGGAGAGCTGGTCAGTCCGCTCGAGCACGAGCCGCCCACGGTCCGCCTTGAACAGCCGCGACGGCTCGCCGGTCTTGACGCTGGTCTTGACGCTGGTCTTGCCGGCCTTGGTGAGCGGCGAGCAGGAGGGCGACGCCGCCTGCTGTGTCAGCCTTGGAGACGGAGGAGGAGACGCGGCGCCGGACGGCGAGAGCGGCGAGGAGCGCGAGGCTGGCTGCCACGGGATTGGGCTCTGAGGTGGCGAGGCCGCACGCGCAGAGGAGGGCACGCTTGCGTGAGGGACGGGGGCAGGCATCCGGCACCCGAGGGAGGCCAGGAGCTCGGATCGGACGGCGGTGGCGGCAGCCGGCGAGAAGGTTGTGAGCGGTCCTGTGCTCGAATCGTCGCCCGTGCTCGAATCGAACGCCACAGGCGAGAGTTCGGGCTCAACGTCTGGCGGGGGCAGCGGCGGGGGCGGCGGCGGCGGGGGCGGCGGCGGCGGGGGCGGCGGCGGCGGGGGAGGCGGCGGGGGCGGGCATGACGGACGCAGCATCATCTCCAGCAGCCGGTCGGCCTGCTCGACCAGCCCTCCCTCGCCCTGCAGGCCCACCATCTCGTTGGCGGCGTGTAGCGTGTCGACGAGGCTCCCCCCGACGGGCAGCGAGTCGGTGCCGAGCACGTTTGCGATCTGCGCCACCTTCTCGGGGAGCGCCGCCTGGAATGGCGCCGCCCCGGGCTCCGTCGCCTCGTCCTCAAACATCCGCTTGTGCGCCTCGGTCAGCGTATCGAGCAGGCCCCGCCGCGGGAGGGAGAGCGCCGTGCAGATCACCTGTTAGGATGAAACGGAGGGAGGGGCGGGGGTACGGGGGGGGTCTGATGGAGAGGGCCGCAGTCCCGGTCGTATTACCTCGACTTGCTTGGGCAGGGTCGTGCCATCGGAGGGCAGCTGCAGGCCGTCGCGCCAAAGCTCGTCGCAGAGGCGCAGCGCCTCCTCGAGCCGGTCGCATTGAACCAGCAGCCCGGCGGTGGTGGAGGCGAGGCCCGCCTTCTCGCTCGCCTCTTTGATGGCGAGCAGGTACGGCTGGTGCGGCGGCGGGAGGCCGAGCTTCTCGCGGATCCACGGCACCCGCACCCGAAAGTTGCGCACTTTCGCTGTGAGCCTGGCTTGGAGTATATTCTCGTCCGGCTTGTGGACGGTGACGACGGCGCGCTGCAAGGTTTCGATGATCTCGAGCATGTCGACCCACTGCAACAGCAAGGCGGTCGGGTCCTCGTCCGGTCGGAGGGGCGTCTCTCCCAGCAGCGTGGAGATATGCTGCACTTTGTGAAAGAGCTGGTCGGGCTGCTTCTCGGCGTGACGCGGCGGCGGCGCGTCGGCGATGCGTCGCGGCTCGGTCGGGAAGGGCGAGTTGGTAGGCGGCGGCGGGGGGTCTCCGCAGGTGGCGGCATGTCCTTCGATCACGTCGGGGTGGAAGTACTGGAAGCACAGAGGGCACTTCACCTCGGAGGAGCGGGGGTGAGAGGGGCGAGCGGCGCGCGCCCACGAGCATCCCCCCCCCTGCTGCTGCGAGAGGTAGGGGGACGGGAGTTGCACCGGTGGAGGGGCCGGCGCTGCGTTCACCTGTGCCATCGGCGCGATGAGCGACTCGGAGGGCTTGACCGACTCTGGCGGCGACTGGAAGGCGCCGCCGCCGCCACGCCCGCCTCCTGGCGCACGGCTGACGGCGCTCAGCGCCCCGCGGGACGCGAGCGGCGGCGGGGGGTCAGTGCTCGGCGAAGCATGCCCGCCGGCGTTGTCTTGATCCGACGAGCGGTCCGAGCGTAAGCGTAAGTGGTCCGAGAGAGGGACATCGCGCATAACGCTGCCGCTGAGCGAGGCCAGCCGTGCATCGCTGACGAAGCCCGTCGAGTTTGGCTCCTGACCATTCTCTTGGCCGTCGGGAGCGCAGCAGCGTCGTGCGTTGGCGCTGCGCGACGATGTGGCCGCCGCAGCTTTTGAGACGTCGTCGCTGGCCTGCACGTTCTGTGCTGGCCCGGCGTCCATCTCGAGCGCTTCTCCTCCCTCTCCGGCTTCGTGCGGGGCGCCTTGGAAGACGGGCGGCTTCCTGCGTGTGCCGCAGAGGACGCGGGCGTCAAATTTCTTTTATTCCGGCCCGCCGAGCCGAGGAGCAAGAAAACCGGCGCGGGCGCCTGGCGGCGCCGCTGCGCAAAAATCCCGCGAAAAGAAAGGGGGGGTGTCCGCCACACTCGAGCTCCGTTGAAAAGCCGTTCTACATTGAATTTGGCATGTGCCATGTGTTCTCTGTGCCGATTCGGAAGCGAAGTCAGATCCCTCCCCGCTCCCGCCAGCTTCTCCCACCTGCCCAGCCGAGACCTGCCCGGCCCATGCTTGCAGCTGGGCATGTTGCGTACTTTCTACAAACACTGAATTCTGGATGTGGAATCGTAAAGGGGCGCAATCATGCCCGGGACTTCGAAAGGCGTCGCTTCATTCCCTCGAGGGCTCGCCCTCCCCGGCGCCCTGCTCCGAGATGATGCTCGCCAAGCACCCACCGCTCGGGCACGGGGAGGGCGGACCACCTCGTGGTTCTGGTGCGCCGCCCATTAGCCATGGCCCTAGCTCCTCCCGCTCGCAGTCGAGGCGCCGCAGCTCGGCGCAAACAACGGACGCCTCGACACGCGCCCTCGCCGCAGCCTCCTGAGCCACGCACAACGCGGCGGCGGCGGCGGCGGCGGCGGCAGTCACGACCTCCGCCCGATCCTCCGCGAGCCGCTGCGTCGCTCTTCGTCTGCGGGCGTCGCGATAGAACCGCAACCCCAACGCGGCTGCGGTGAGGACCGCAGCGCCCCACCAGCCGAGCGCGCCTAATTTGAGCAGCCCCAGTCCCTCGCGAGGGCTGTCTCGCGGGGCCAGTCACTTCAGCCGGGTGGGGACCCAAGGCGCCGGCGGCCCACGCAAGCAGCTGCCAGCCGAGCAGCAGCAGCGCGATCGCCGCTCGCGCCGCCGCCTGCACGTGCCGCTGCAGCTCGCAAGCAGCCTCGCTCCCCGCGGCACAGAGGAGTGCCGCCACGGCCGCGACAGCCACGCCTGCCACCACGACGGCCACAGCGCTGCCCGCAGCGGCCTTGATCACCCACGCCGTGGCCGACCACGCGAGCCACGACGAGGAGAGGAGGGCGATGGCGAGGCTGGCGAGGGCCGCCGCGCCGATCCAGGCTCGCGACATCTCCCAGCCCCACAGCACCTCGCGCGCCTCTGCCAGCTCCCGCCGCAGCCCCTCCACCTCCGCTCTGTGCGCCTGCCGAGCGGCGGCGAGGGCCGCCTCCCCCTCCAGCCTCAGCCTCGCCAGCCGAGCCTCGCCCTCCGCGTCCAGCACCCGCTCCGGGACGCTCTCTCGGGCGAACCGGCCGGCCGCGGGCTCGGGACTGCCGCCGCCGCCGCCACTATCGCCGCCGCCGCTACGGCCGCCCAAAGGACGTGCTTCACCACCGAGCGAATGGTGCCGCTGCGGAGGCGCGCTGGTAGGTGCGGCTCGCTGCTCCTCTGCGTCGCCCTCTGCCCTGTCTCCGCCGGCGCAGATTGGCTCTGCGGCGGGCGTGCCTGCGCGGGTGTGCAGGATGAGCGCCTCCAAGCGGCGCGGCCGGCAGCGCGACGCCGCAGAGGCGTACAGCCGCTCGACCGAATGCGAGTCCAGGCGCATGAGCACGTCGATGCGCTTCCGGACCGACTCTCCGCCTACAGCGGCGCCGCGCTGTGGTCAGCCTCGGGGCTGGCTCGCGCCGCCCGCTCGCACGGGGCCGGCGGCGCCGTCGGAGGCGGCGGAGGCGGAGGCGGCGGGCGACGGTGCAGGCACCGCGAGGCGCGCAAAGTCGCGCGTCCAGTGGAGCGAGACGCCGTTCTCGTCCTCGTAGTGGTTCGCGCGCCGCTCGAGCTGCATCTCGAAGGCGGCCGCCATCTGCTCGCCGCTCAGCGGCAGAAAGGGGAAGGCGTTGCCGCGCATGCGGTCGCGCATCTTGCCCGCCGCAAACGGCGAGGGTGTGCCGTCGGCGCGCGAGCACGGGATGGCGTCGGTGAAGATGCGCCGCTCCATCTCTGCGCGCGTCGCCTCGTACGCGTCCGCGTGCGGCCGGCCGCCCGCCGCGTGCCGCCTCCACACCTAATTAACACTAAATAACACTAAATAACACTAGTTAACACCCGCCGCGTGCCGCCTCCACACCTCGGCAAGCTCGTCGAGGAAGCAGTTGGAGGTGAGGACGAAGATCGCGCCCGCGGTCGGCGCGTGCCTGCTCGCAGCTCAGCTCAGTGCAGGCAGCTAGCTCTGTGAAGGCAGCTAGCTCTGTGAAGGCAGCTAGCTCTGTGAAGGCAGCTAGCTCTGTGCAGGCAGCCCGCTTCGAGGAGGAGGAGCCGCGGTCGGGATGCCGCGTGCCGCGTGTCGAGGAGGTGTCGAGGAGGTGTCGAGGAGGTGTCGAGGAGGTGTCTAGGAGGTGTCGAGGAGGTGTCTAGGAGGTGTCTGGAAGTGTCTAGGAGGTGTCTAGGCGCGTGCCGCGTGTCGCAGCCGTCGGAGCCGTCGGCGCGCTTGAGCGTGTACTCGACAAAGCCGCGGTGGTCAATCGCGTTGACGAGCGCCGTCGTCATGAAGTCTCGCCGCGCCTCCTCGATCTCGTCGAAGACCACGACGGGCCCGACCGGCGCCGAGGCGGCTCTCGCGCCGCGCCCCTCGCCCTTCTCGCGCCCCTCGCCATGCGCGCCGGCAAAGAGCGCGGCGAACGCGCCTTCTCCCTTGATGCCGCACGGCGGCGAGACGAGCTTCCAGAGGTCTTCGTCGGTGCGGTAGTTCTGCGGCGCCGGACGGGAAGGGCGTATGCGGGCTTGGGGGTGAGGCTGTCGCGGACGCGGCCGGTGGCGGTGGAGGCGGCGGCGGCGGAGGAGGCAGGGCCGGCGGAGGCGGAGGCAGCGGCGGGCTCCTGCATGGCGAACTTGCGGTAGTGCGGCGGCGCCGCGCGGCCGTGCGCCGCGGTCGCGATTAGCTCCGCGAGGTACGTCTTTCCGGTGCCTACTCTCGGACAATCTCGGACGATCTCGGGCAATCTCATCAGCTCCGCGAGGGGCTGTCCTTCCGGCGCCCGGGTAGCCGTAGAAGAAGAGGACGTGCGCGTCCTCGCCGCCGCTCGCCCCGACCCTCGCCGCCTCGAGCCGCGAGCGGACCTCCGCCACCACGCCCTCCTGCCAGCGGACACCGGGAGTCGTCCCTGCATTCCTTGTCACTACTCATTCCTTGTCACTACTCATTCCTTGTCACTACTCGGTGCGAGTGGGATCGCCCTCCTGCCCGACGAGCGCGTCGAGCGCAGACAGCTCGCCCGCATCGCCGGCGCAGCGGTCGGACGCGCCGGCCGCTGCGACGCACACGCCCTGCGCCGACCCTCTGCCGCGCCTCGCCGCACGCACCTCCCGCTGCCGCGCGACGAGCGCCTCAAACGGCGCGCGGCCCGGCGCCCCTCGCCCGACGCAGAGCCGCTCGCGCAGCAGGCGACCCGGCCGCTGCGAGGGCGGCGCCGCGCGGTCCACCGACGCGAGCCACGCCGCCGCGTCGCGCGCGACCCGCTCGCGGAGCCGCACGCCGCTCAGCGTCCCAGCGCTGCCCTCCTCGCCCTCTGGCCCGCCTCCAGCCAGCCCGCCTCCAGCCAGCCCGCCACCACCCAGCCCGGCCGCCGTCTCCATGGCCGCCTCGTCGCCGAGCCGCGTCGAGAGCACAAAGAGCGTCCTGCGACAGTCTGCGTCGAGGCGGTCCGTCGCACTCGAGTGGATACAGCGAGCGGCCCGCCAGAACCGGCCGACGATGGACGCAATCTGAGCGGCGGGCGCCAGCTCGGCGGCAGCCACAAAGACCACCGTCCACATGCCTGCGCGTTGCTGCAGCGTCGCCGCGACGTCGTCGACGAGAGTGGCGCACGAATCCGCGCCGTCGACGCCGCCATCAGAGCAGGCAAAGGAGTGCCACGCTGCGGGATCGAGCAGGTATCGGGCGTCGCTCTCCGTCGCCGCAGCCGCTCGGAGTTGCGCCCGCAGCTCCTCGGTGTGCGCGGACGCGTTCCCGGTAAGAAGCGTCGCGCCGCTGGTGGCGGGCGCGCCGCCGGCCTGCTGGACCTGGAGAAGCCAGTTGGAGATCGACGGGCAGTCCACTGCCATGGCGCTCTGATGGAGCACTCTGGTGCGGAGAGCTGCTGCAGGCACGTAGAGGACTCGCCGAAGCCTGCCGCGAAGCGGAAAAGAATTTTTGTGAATTCACGGGACTGGCGCGCACTGGCACTGAATTCGGACTTCGCATTCTCGCCTTTTTTTGTGTTTTTACGGGGGCCCAAAATTCTCGCACTCGGCGAGCTGCGTCTGGCGGGCCTCCGCAGCCCCGCGGCTGCTCGAGCCGATCACTCGGCGCACGGCGGCGGCGAGGGCGAGCATCGCGACAGAGGCGACGAGCACCGGGAGGCTAAGTGGGAGGCTGCCGGACGCGTGCGTCGGCGAGGGCTCGACGTGGGCGCGCGACGGCACCGTCCCGCCTCCGTGGCGCACGGCGAAGGAGGCCTGCAGCTCCGGGACGACATTCGACCACACATTCCCGTCCGGCCAGGTGATGGTGCGCGCGGGCGAGGGCGCCCACTTGCCGACCAGCTCCTTCGGCCCGCCCTTTGGAGAGAAGTCGAAGTGGATGCTCGTCATCTTTGGTCCGGTGCAGAAGCCCTCGAGGAACCAAAAGGTGCCGTCGTCGGAGCCAACCATCTTTAGGACGTGGGGCGGGTCCTCGGCGATAAACCGCATGCCCCGGAAGGTGCCCACCTTGAAGTGGTGCGGGTCGAAGAAAACGCCGGTGTGGTCGTCGGCGGCGTCCAAGAGAAACGCGCGCGTGGGAGCCGCGAGCAAGGCCCACATGTTGCCGTCTGGCCACGTGATGGTCTCGCCGGGCGACCACCTGCTCGCGCGGCGCGGGCACGAGGGTGAGTCTCCCGCCCGGCTTGGCCTGGGATGCGTCGCAGCGCAAGAGGCACCTGCCGGTGGCGTCCGATGGGCCGCCTTTGGGACTGAAGTCGATGGTGATGTTGCGCATGCCGAGACCGCTGCAGCGGCCCTTGAGGGCCCACCAGCTCGTCCCGTCATCGGTGCCGACGATGTTCAGCTCGTGCGGCGGTGACTCCGAGACGAAGCGGAGGCCAGCGAGCGACGAGTCTGAGCGGTAGTGGTGCGGATCCCGCCAGACGCCGGCGCCGTGACCGGTGGCGCGCGCGAGGATCGCCGCGAGGAGGAGGGCGCGGGCCGAGGCTGCTCTCACAGGGCGGGCTGCTCTGACCGCAAACATCACCCCGGACGCTGCCGGCCGCTGGGTCCAAAAAGAAAAACAAAAAGTGGGACGGATGGGAGGATCCGCTGGGTCCATATGTGGGTTGTTATTTCGCCTTGTTTTCTTGAGAGGATATGCTACCAAAAAAAGAATTGCCGCGCGCGGCCACGCTCCGCGCCACGCCGCGCGGCACTGCAGCGCGGCCCAAGATGCCGATTGGGTGCTTCATCAGCTTGCCAAGGTCCATCTTGACGTTGTCGGCGGAGATGCCGTGCGGACCCCACCCTTTCGCTGCCTCCTCATACAGGTGCGAGGAGTGCAGCAGCGCCTTGGACGGGATGCACCCCACATTGAGGCACGTGCCTCCCAGCCGTCCTCGCATCTGTATGCAGGCGACTTTCATGCCAAGTTGGCCCGCCTTGGTGGCGGTGGGGTAGCCGCCCGGGCCGCCGCCGATGACGACCATGTCGTAGGTCTCACCGGTGGCGAGGCCTCGGGACAGGCGCGGGCGCACGGCGCGGGCGAGGGAGCGGCCGAGCATGGCTGAATGTGGCGAAGGCCGAAGGACGGCGGCGATGCCTCGATGAAAGTGCGGTCTGCCGCGCGGGCGAAATCTGCCGGTAAGAGAGGCTGTTGAGCGCGGTCGCTGTGAGCTTCACCTCATGCCATTTCCGTGCGAGCCGCGCTCCGTGTCTTTTATGAGATCAAATGAACGTCTTTACACACTCATCGGGTGGAACCGCTCACTGGAGAGCGCCGCCCTCTCGCGGCTCTCGAGAGCGAGTTTTCGCCAGACAGCCACACGTCCATTATGGCGCGCGTTCTCGCCGGACGGACGTTCGCCGGCAGGCCGCGAGGGCATCTGCCGGCGCTCGTCTGCCAAAGTGGCGCCAGAGTGGAGAACTGGAGGCTGCATATTCAACATACTGGCCGAGGCGGGTCTACCGTCCGGCGGCGGCGGTCTACCGTTCGGCGGCTGAAAAAGGGGTAGACGCGTCTACCGCGGTCTACCAATTCTACCGGTAGACTGCAGTCGTAGGTTCATTGGTATCGCCGTGCCGTCTTGTCGACCGCATTCGGGACCGCATTGGCGATTCGGCCTGCCTCCGCCACCGGCGATCTCATTGTCGGCGTCACTTTATTCTCGCAGGCATAGTCCCTCCCCGCCTGCGTAGTGCGCGATCTGAAAGTTTCTTGGGACAGGCGCTGTTCAAAATATGCGCGCGTCTTCTGAGACACGCGCTGATCAAGGTATGCACAGCGCCTCTTTTGAGACAGCAGCGCCAATCGGAGATGCACCGCGAGCAATTCGGGATGCGCGGAGCAACTAATATATGGACTCGCGTATCTTAGGATGCTCGATCGAGCATACCGACACCTTGTGATTTTTGGGTCAAAATCGTCCCGATTTCACAATGTTCGTTCGTACGTGCATCCGCGGCGCCCAGCGCGGTGCCAGCGGCTCCCATACCTCTAAGAGGCCACCCACCTCCGTATAGACCCTTATATCCGCGGTTTACGCCCAATAGAGGCAGCTGCAAGAGGGCCCGGACGGGCACTGCGGCACACACTGCTCGCTGCTCGGCCATGCGGTAGCGTCGGTGATGCCGCCCCTGCGCGGGCGGGGGCGTCTCGCTCGGCAGCAACTGCGCCGCGCAGCGCAGGTTCGAGGGTCGCGGTGGGTGGGTGCACTGGAAGACGTAGCGGTCGAGAAAGCGCTCAGCGACCGCTACGTCTCGAGGATGGAGCCGTCGCGCGGACCCGACCGGCCGACCGGCAGTGGCAGCAGGCGCCGGAGGGCGCGGGAGGCAGCGGCGACACCTCGGGCCAGAAGCGCGAGCCCTAGGCTGGTGAGGGGGCCCGCTCATGCGTAAACGGCTCTGGGACTTAGCTAAATCGCGCATCGAAATCGGGACGATTTTGCCAGGGCACCGTCACAAGGTGGGACAGCGAGCGTCTAAGTAGGGCACCTACTAGACGCACTCTGATCCAGAGACGCATTCGGCAAACAAAGATGGGGGGGGTCGCCCCCCCAGACGTCCGGGCGCAAACTTCAGAGGGACTCTTACGAGTTAGAGAGAGATTTTTAAAGACCAACAAGAAATCACGACTCTCACGAGTTATGCCGCTCTCTGCGACGAAACCAATTCGTGCTATGAGTTTTCACAATCAGTTCCGGTATAGCCCCGAGCCCAAAAACCTGGGGCCAGTTTTGCTGCACATTGTGTCGTGAGTTCGGTGTAGACGCTACCCCTCAAGTTGCGCGATCACGCGGGCGACGATGACTGAGTACACGGAGCACACAACCACAAACACCACCGGGACGAGGGCGCCCCCGCCACCCACGAGAAGGGCCGCGCCAGACACCATGGCGACGGTTCCGGCGGCAAACGCTGCCTCGTGCTGCAGCTCGCCCCCCGCCCACACCGCCACACCTGCGAGGGCGGCGTCGCGCCGCTGGCGCTCTGGCACCCGCTCGTCGTCCTCGCCCGCGGCGGCCGCCATCGCCTCGGCGACCGCCGCGCGCCCGTACTCGCCGTCGGGCGCAAGCGCCGCCGAGATTGCGGCGCGGGTGAGTGCCCTCCTCGCTGCCTCCGCCCCGTCCACGAGCACGCTCGAGCCGCCGTCGTCGGGCGGCAGCATCGAGCCGTCGTCGTCGTGCGGCAGCATCGGGTTCATGGGAGGCGGCGGCATGTCCTCGTCGATGGGCTCGACAAACGCCATGGGGAGGGCGTGCTCCCCGCCTGCGTCGCCGCCTGCAGGCTCGGCTTCATCGATTACTAGACTACTCCCTCCTCATACCATCTCTCTCTTGGCCGCACGCCTGGATTGGCCTCCTGCCAAGCGGCCTCCTCTGCCTGCGCGAGGCGGACGAGCTCGACGGTCGACGGCAGGATGACCTGCATGATGAGCTTCGTGTCGTAGCCGGTGTTGGCGCCATGCGATGGCTGGTCGCCAATGTACCAGCCGGCGAGGCTCCTATACAACAAGACGTTGGTGGGCTGTCAGGAGCATACAAGCTCGGGATGTAGCCGGCGATCTCGTGTGATCTCGTGTGATCTCGTGTCATCTCTGCTCGTCGCGCCTCATCTCGACTCATCTCGTGTGATCTCGTGCCGATCTCGTGTGATCTAGACTATTCTCGTGTGATCTAGACTATTCTCGAGACTATTCTCAAGAGCACACGATGTAGCAGGCGATCTCGTGTCATCTCGTGTCATCTCGTGTGATCTCGTGTCATCTTCACTAACTCAAAACCCGATTGGGAGTGAGGCGACCAGGGCCATGCGGTCCGCGACCTCCTGATATGCCGAGGAGGGACTGGGTTGGTGAGGAATGGGGTAGGCGATGGTGTGTGAGGAGGGCGAGGGTGACGAGCGTGCGGGGCGGCGGCGCCTCCGTGATGAGCACGCGCGGCGGCTTCCGAAGGTTGCCGTCCTTGTCCTCCTCCGCCTTGGGCCGCAGGCATAGTCCCTCCCAGCCACCCGAGGAGATGTGGCGCTCCGCCTCCGGGGGCGAGGCGTCGGCCGGGCCGAGCCCCGCCCGCCATTGCGACCCGATGGGGCCCCTCCGCAAGCCGTCGGATGCCAAAATGCCCGTGGACCACTCGATCGATCTGAACTCACCCGACAGGTGGGCCTCCGCGCCTGGGAGGAAGAGGGGGGGGAGGGGGGGGGGAGCATCTGTGCTCAGCGCGCCAGGCCAATCTCGGACGGTATCCGGGCTCGAGGTGAAGACATCAACCCCGTTGAATATCTCGCCGCAGTAGTAGGCGGCTGTGTCCATCATCAAGGACTCTCGGACAGTGGGGTCGTGCGCGCCGGGGGTGCCCGCGAGTAGGGCTACTTCTTGGCCCCCAGTGACACTGACCTCGGCCTTGAGTTGGAGCTGGGTCCGTCCTGCGGGTTTGTCTTCCACCGAGAAGTACGGCGAGCACGACTTGTCCTCCTGCGGCCGGAGGGTCATGACCGCGATGGTGAGAGGGCAGGGCGTGTGTGTGTGTGCGCGCGCGCGGCGGTGTGTGTGTGCGCGCGCGCGGGTGTGTGAGGGGCGTCGCCTTGTAGATGAGCGGCCCATTCTCCTCGAGCGGCAGCGGGACGAGGGCGAAGTCGAAGCCGCTGCCGATCGGAACCTTGACCGGCGTGCACGCCGGCGTGCCAGGCGGCAGGCCGTTCGCGTAGAGTCCACCCAACCAGCGCTCTGACGAGTGACCCATCGGCCTGCCGCCCTGCTTCATCACTTCGCGCCACAGCAGCACGAGCGTTGCTGGCCCACGGGAAAGCGCGTGCTGGTGCTGCTGCGTTGTGCAGTGCGGGCTGCCATCGAGAGCCAAGGAGTAGACGTTGGTGTAGATGGTGCCGCTCTCGCCCGCCCGCGGCACGCCGTCCAGCAACCGGTCGTCATTCCAGTCAACGCGGCGGTCGTCGTCCGCCGACAGCCGGGCGCACCGCGCGCTGGTGGCGGCGCCCGCCGCAGCGCAGGAGATGCCGACGCACAGCCTCCGCGCCAGCTTCGCCGCCGCGTTCAACGGCGGCCGCAGCGGCAGCAGCGAATGAAGTCGCATCTCGGCGTGCGCTCGCTCCAGCGAGATTTTCTTTTTCCGCGGTCGACCCACACTGGTCAGTCGAGGCGCGAGATATGGGGAGACATGGGGGGATATGGAGCTCAACCTGTGGGGAGATGTGGGGAGATGAAAGCGCACACGTCCCGCCACAGCGTGGACCGTGCTTTAACTCAGTCCTCAGACGACGCGCGCTAAGGACGCACGAACTAAATGTCGCGCACTGCTTTCCACGTGGCATGCCTCGCGTGAAGGGCGTGACACACACTCACACGGGGTCCGCGAATTCTTTTCCGCCGAGATATGTCCGCCGACGAGGGGTTGCTCCAGCAGGCGATACGCGCGGCGGCGCGTGCGCAGCAGGAGCGGCTGCGCGCGTCGCCCGACGGGGAGGTGCCCGAGTACATTTGGAGGGAGTTGCACCGCCCTGCGACCGGCACGTGGACACCGTCCGTGTCGCGCGACAACCCGAGTCCCGCGGATCGGCAGGCCGTTGACCGCGCCTCCCGGAACCGGTTCCGGAGCCGGTCGCCACTCCGCCCGCGCCAGCACCCCCCAGGTGAGCTTCCACATGGGGCACACGGCCTCACGTTATCGCCTCAGAGCATCGGCGTCTCTTTAGGTCGGCTCCGCGCCTCTTCGGTTTGGGCTGGCGTCCTCGCCGAGGGGCCGGTCGACGAGGCCTCCCTCGTCAGCGAGATCCCAGACCTCAAGGTGCTCTTCAAGTTCTTGAAAGCGCGGAGGGACAAGGCAGGCCTGCCCCCCTCCCTACCGCAGGCCGAGCACCAGCTGGTCCGGCACGTCTTCCTCGACGTGCTCAACTCCACGCTCGTCTCGCTTGCGCAGAAGCAGGTCCTCCTGGCGGGCCTGGCGGGCCTCGACAACTTCGACGGGCGCCACTCCCGCTGCGCCAGCTGCGACCGCCTTAGCTGCCCCCCGCTCGTCGCCGCCATCCTCGAGGCGGTGATGGCCACGGCTGAGAAGGACAAGATCTTGGTCCTCCTCGCGCACCTCTTCGACGAGCGCGACGAGGACGGCATTCCCTTGGCACGCGCGCTGACGGTTCGGGCGATGGTGCACTGCGCGCGCCCGTGGCGCCCGCCTGCGCTGTCGGCGCCAGAGCTGCGGGCGGCCAGAGCGCTGATGCAATTGCGCGGAGAGGGGCTGGCGGAGGCGGTGCAGCGGGTGCGCCGCGCGCGCGTCCGTGTTGTGCGCGCGCTGGCGTTTGCGCTCGCCCTCGCAGCATATGCGCTCCCAGCGCTCGCGGCCCTTGTGCTGCAGCTGTAAGTGAGAAAAAAAGAGACGTGTGTGCATGGCGCCCCCGACTCTTACTGTCGTCGCGCTGTGGCATGTGCCGTCAAGTAGTACGTTGTACTCTGGATAGAGATGACAGAGCTGTGAGCCAGCAGAGTGGTGCCCGCCGCAGCGTGGCTCGGCACGCGCGCACGCCGGGGCGCCTCTGATGAGCGCGCATCTACTCCACGTCTTGGCGAGCGCGCTCTTCGTGCGTCTTGGAAAAGGCGTGCGAGGTGCGTGGTCCAGGGGCGAGGCCTGTCACGACCGG